GCACATGTCACAGCCACGGCGTGCTTCTGTGCTACGGTCACATCCATACCCCTCAGTGAATGGCCGCACTGATTTCAGATTTAATTTCAGCACAGTGCAAAGTAGGACCCCCAACCACGGGCACCGGCAGTGGCTGGTTTTCAGGTGAAGTCTTCCCGTTTCCAATACTGCCCTCTCCTCGGTGCCAAAGCGGGGATGCCAGGGAAGAGGTGGCAATAAATACAGGAGATCACTCAACTGTACAGAACACACACTCTGAGAGCGCTCTGCAGAAGAGAGAAGCAGGAAACAACATGGAGAACGGCACAAGCAGCGCTTACTGCTTGGTCCCACATCTGCACTTATGGGGACAACTTGGGAAAACATTCCCAAGATCCCAGAATTTTTAAGAGATCAAAAAGAAAACAAAACAAAAAAAAAACACAGACCCATTTATTTTTTTTTTTCTTCTGTTTGCATTTTTCAATAACTCCGTTTGCAGGCTCAGCAGCCCCTCGTTCAGGAAAGCTGAGCGCACATTTCATCTATCTGACTCCCCAACAAGCTCTGCAGCCACCTGTACGTGAAACAGATGCCACAGCTGGGTGCAGCATCCAGTTACATGTCCGGAAAATGTCCTGAGGTCAAACCTTCCAGCTACACAACCGCGGGCAGAAAAACAGAGCCCTTAATGCTGGAGGACACCTCCACGATCCACCACCCCAACCAACCCCACCAACCCCATCCACAGGGAGCACAGGCAGCGTCTGTAAGGTTAGGTATCACCTACACCGTCAGACGTGTGTAGTTCTATGGATGCTTCTGCACACACGCCAGATTTCTGGGGCAGCTCACAGAAAGCTTCGCACTGCACCAGCAGTGCTGGATTTGGTCACTGCTCTCTTGCTTGAAGCAGGGGGAAGCGTTTTCCAGCGTTATTTCCAACACCAGCAGCCCCTTCCTCAGCTCTTCTCCCACGTGCATTTGTTCTACCAGTACAGCTCAGGGCAGAGCTGAGCAGGGCATGTTATCTAACCTTTTATTGTTATCAATAAAAACAGTTTGCTAGCTCTGTCACGCGGAGGGACGCTGTAACCAAAGCCAATCAGTTCATCGCCCCAGCTAGAACAAGGAACATATCGCTCATATTTCCACTGCCTCCGCTCATTGCAATGCAAAACAACTTCATAGGCTTCGTCATCATGTTACCAAATACTGATTTAAACTCCTGGATTTCGCCCATTATAATTGAGTTCTAAATTTCATCCAAGAACAGAACTCGCTGGAAATCGCAATTTAATATCATGACCAAATAAAAAGTAAGTTATATTCCCCCTCCTTAATGCAGCACAAATACAAAGATTACCTATCTGAATTAGCAACATAATTGCTGAAATGCAAGCAGTACGCAGCAGATGACTGTTTTCTGGAATAACAATAAACAGTGTGAGTGCAAGAGAGTTCATACTCATTGCTCAGATCTGCTTTAGCTCCCTCTCTGTTAAATCCCTCCTCCCGGAATGTCTTCGTGCTCTGCACAGCCTGGGCTCCAAGGACAAGAGCAAGACCAACAGGCTGCAGCTGGAGCAGGACTGAGGATGGGCAGACTGGGGGATCAAAGGCAGGAGGAGGCGGATGGCACTCCGAGGTTTTGGACAAGCCATGCAGGGGATGCTGAGATGTGTCCCCAGGAGGACCAAGAGACACCGGTGGAAGAGGGCAAGCCAGTGCACAGGCACAGAGGCTCAGCATCCCAACGTACCAGATGTTAATCACAGAATCATTGAACGGCCTGGGTTGCAAAGGACCACAGTACCCATCTGGTTCCCAACCCCCTGCTATGTGCAGGGTCACCAACCACCAGACCAGGCTGCCCAGAGCCACCTCCAGCCTGGTGGACTTCATGAGACTGGAAAAGGGAGCACACAAACTGCTTGCCCTGTGTTGCCCTTCAGCGCTTCCACTCGTGGTCCCACACAGAACCAGGAAGCGCAGAGCTAGGCTGAAGAGCAAAATCCTGGGAGAAAAAAAAACGCCACCTGAAAGTTTTTCCAACAAGTTACAAAAAAACAATAATCCCACATTCGGTTCCGTGCAGACTGCAGGTGCAGCTTCGGTGTATCTGGGGCTCATTCACTTCTCGCTGGGGGAAGTGTCTCAAGCTCACTGCTCTCCAAAAGCCCTGACACGGCAGGCATCTGGGGAGGTTGGGCTGGGCCTGGGAGGAACTCAACAGAACTGAAGAATGCAAAAAGCCACCAGCAACCTCTGCCAGAGAAGGTCTCAGTTTCCCTATTACAGGAGATTCAGCAGGAGACCGGAGGTGTGGAGGCAGCCACAGCACATTATGGAAGATGAAGAATCCATTTAAAATTGGATGAGAAGTCAGGATAAATTAGGAAAATGAATAAAAAAAGAAGACTGCGCTTTCAAGTGATGGAATTAGTAATTCATCTCCAAAATATATCTCCTGCTGGGGCAAGTGCAAGAATCCACCAGGACCCACAAATGACAGAACAAGACGTGAATCCAACCGAATCGGACCTTGTGCAGAGCAAGTGCAGCCACTGCAGAGGCCAGAGGGAGAGCCGAAAGCAACATGGAGATCATCTTTAAAAAAGATGATTTTAATGTCATTGGGCAACAGCTAACTAGAAAATGAGGGGACGCGACAACAGGCTGCCCAGGGAGTGCTGGAGTCCCCATCTCTGGAGCTGGGGCACTTGGGGACGCGGTCAGTGTTGGGGTTGGGGATCTCGGAGGTCTTTTCCAACCTTCGTAATTCCGTGGTCAGGACGTGCCTACAGCTGGAGGGTATCTTTTCAGGACCATTTTTACCTCCAATCTCAATCTGTGAACAGGCAGCGTGCAGGAGGGCTCCAGGAGCAGAATTAATGCTTCTACTTAGCTTGTTAACCTGTCTAAGGATAATGGGACAATTTCTTAAGAGCATTTTAACTAAGTTGCATGAATGGTCAACCAGGGCATTAAATTAAATAAACAACAGGGAATAATCAATTAACAGTGGCAACCAGAATGCAGACTTTCTGGCAGCTGTGCGGAGCTGCCGGGACACAGTGGCTGCCTACAAGACCCATGGAAGCACAGCCCTGATGGAGATCCACACACACTGCATCACCGCCGGGCCTCCATTTTCGCTGTCACCTCCACCGTCACACCAAAGTCAGCACGGCTGGGCAATTTACAATGCCTGGTCAAGTCTCAAGTTTTTACTGCTCCTTTTGCGCCGCCCTGAACACAGCTGAGTTCTTGAGGGCTCCGCCAGCAGCTCCCAACAACTGAAGAGAGCTGAAATAACTTCAAAACTGAACACGGCAATCACAGCACAGGGAGCACGGTGCCAAGCACCCACCAAGGATGTTGCAGTTGTGAACTCAAGCTCAACGAGCTCTTGTGCTGAGGCATTCCCACCTCAGCCTGAGCTAACCGATTAGCACAAGGCCACCGTCTTCCCAGTTTCAAAACCTGGCACAAAATGGAGATGACGGTGATTTTTTTTGGTTAAAACAGGATGCCATCACAAGGACGTCCCCTCCCCGGCTCCGGCAGCAGGAAGCAGTGCTGCATGGTGGAACCAGACCGAAGGCACTGAGCTTGTTATGGGGCTTTCCACTGATTGTAAAGGGGAGAATGGCATCCAAGCATTTGGAAAGGCAGGCAATAAAAAGCATTTCTCTCGCAGGCAAATCTTCTTACAGATAGAAAACAATCTCAGTCTCTTGCTGAAGGCGCACTCACTAATTGAAACAGAAATAAAATGAGGAATAGGAAAGAGATGAAGCTACAAAGTTATGTCTTGGTCCAATTAGTAGGTGGGGAGTTAAATTATCAGTTAAAGACATTCTGTAAGTTTCAATGTTTAAAACTGGAAGGGAAAAAAACACGCTGCAGAACGGCTGCCACCTGGCCTCGACGGCACAGTCCAGAGCACCTTCCACTACGATAAGGCTTTACCCTGGTGACAAACACAATCACAGCCAGACACAGCTGGAAGAAGCCCCGGCGGGGCCCTGATCATCCCATCGCAGGGACAGCCGTGCTGCACGAGCCCCAGGTGCCCCAGCTCCCATAGGGCGCCCATTCCACTTCCCCACAAGAAGCACAGACCTTCCCCAAGCATCACTCTGCCTACACCTGCCTGAAGAAGCCACATAAGGACCCAGTTTTGCTGTTCCCCATCAAACCGCAGCATCATTAAGGTTGGAAAAGCCTTCAAAATCCCCAAAACCAAGCCCAGGTCACCCCCACCATGCCCACTGTGTCCCCGCGTGCCACAATCTCCACAGTTCTGGAACACCCCCAGGGATGGGGGCTCCACCAGCTCCCTGGGCAGCCGTGCCACTGCATCACCACCCTGACGGTCCTTCCACCTTGCTGTGCTCCACTGACACCATCCACGCTTCCCCAGCCTTCTTTCCATTGCTCAATATACAGCAACGGACTGCCCAACCTTCTTTCCATTGCTCCATATACAGCAATGGACTGCCCAACCTTCTTTCCATAGCTCAATATACAGCAATGGACTGCCCAACCTTCTTTCCATAGCTCCATATACAGCAATGGACTGCCCAACCTTCTTTCCATTGCTCCATATACAGCAATGGACTGCCCAACCTTCTTTCCATAGCTCCATATACAGCAATGGACTGCCCAACCTTCTTTCCATAGCTCCATATACAGCAATGGACTGCCCAACCTTCTTTCCATAGCTCAATATACAGCAATGGACTGCCCAACCTTCTTTCCATTGCTCTACACACAGCACCACAGGCGGCCAGCAGGACCTGTGGGGCCTGGGAGCCCTCAGCATTCCTGGTCTCTGTACTCAACCCCCAGGCTTTTTTTTTATGTCTTAAAAAAAGGTACAGACAACCATGCTCCCATTTTAAAATGCCTTCTTTTTTTTTTTTTTTTTTAATCCTACTGCTATTGTTGTTGCTTTTTTTTTTTGTTTTTTTTGTTTAAACACAGTACAACAAACTCATCAAAATTGCCAGGCAGATAAAATATCTGTAATTGGGTTCTGATTGGGCTCTAAATGACAGGGCATGCATGTATTTACCACTCAGAGGAGAAATAACAACAAGTAATTTGCATAGTGCGCTGCACTTTGCACAATGCAAAGCACTCCACGACTCATTTCAAAAACCTGTGAGGTGGGCAGCCACTGCTGCTACCAAAAACTAAGTGCCATCACTTGTGTGCACAACAGTGGAGCTCGCCTCCCATTCCATGCAGCCACACAAGTTAAGTCCTGCACCAAGACCACAGCATCACTGCTGAATGAAGCACAGACGCACTAAGATGCAGTGCAAAATGCCCTGCTGCCAGTCCCAGGTGCACCCTGTTCAGACTTGGAGACAAAGGCCCGTGCTCTGTGCCCATGCAAGAAACGCCCTGTGCCCACCACAAGACACTGGCAGGAGGGAACTGCTCTGATTTCAAGCTGCAGAGCTGCACGAAAGCAAAAGGAAACACATTCTCCTACTACAGCAGAAATATGCAAGTGTGTGAGTCAGTAGTTCCAAAAATACATTTCATAAGCTGCAGAACAGATATGTATGTTGCCATGGCACTTAAGCAAAAATTAACAAGTCTCAAGCTTGTTTTGTGTATGAATCAAAATCCAAGCAATCGTAGTTTCCCCTCCACTCAGCTGCTTTATTGCTCGCATGCTAAGGTCAGTTTTGCCACTGATTTCATTTGTTTTCTTTTCAGATTCGGCTTTCAGAGCTGAAGGGCATTTAAAGGTGCAGAGGGGTGCTTAGCGGGATTTTCACAAGTGCCTCGATACCTGCCTCCCAGCAATGGTTTCTCACAATCCTATTAGGTACCTGCCTGCAAGGCCAGGCACCTGATGCCTGCATGAATCCTGCTGCTGGAGCGCGGTGCTGCACAGCCACGGCTCACGGGAGCTTTGCACAGCCCGAGCAGGATGGGAGCAGCCCCAAACGCTTCGATTAAATTATCTCCTGCACACAAAGAGCAAGGTGCGCTTAGGTGGGCAGCAACACAAGAAAAGAAAAAAAAAAAAGGAAAGGAAAAAGAATGGAAAGCCACCAAACTAACGCTAACGCAGGCTCTGGTTAAGCCTGGAGGTGTTCCAGCAGCTGCCGGCAGCAGGAGCAACGTCTGGGCAGGACGGGGCAGGGCAGCACCCCAGCAATGGGCTGCAGATTCCCCCCCATCCCCCCAGCCTCCCCACCACTGGGAGAGGAGCAGAGAACCGCGGGTCCCCACGTGCTGCCCAAAGCACGTCCACCAAGACAGCACCCATCCACGGCACGCAGGCGCGAGTCTGTCGTTTCACACCGACCATTTCCAGACAGACGGGCACCTGCCTGCCCCAGCTGCACGCAGCCACTGGCGGGATGCTTCCCAAACCCAACCCTTCAAAAACTGGTCCATAAAGCCTCTCTGCAAGATGTGCTCCCACTGGCACTGGGCAGCCCATGCCCCAGAGCCGCTGCTGCTGCCGACCCCAGCGCTGCCCAGCAGCGCCTGGCAGCAACCCCACGCAAAGGAACCCAAACCAGTCCCACTGACACAGCTCACAGGAGGGCCTGCAGAGCTGCAGCCCAGCCTCACTGCAGCGCATCGCCTTCCCAAGGACAAAATGCAGCGAGATCCTGTGCTCAGTGCTCCCTTAACCATCCATCTGTGGCTGTTAATACGGAGTTAAATCTTCCCACAAACCAAAGTGGTGGAGCTCTCAATATGCAGCGTGCGGTTACACGAACACAAATACGCTCCCCATGGGAGTAAACTTAGCAGCCAAACCAAGGGAAGCATCCTTACTATGCATAAGTTAAAGGCACCTTTTGCATGTAGAGGGAAGCTACGGAAACTGAACTCCTCGCCGTCTTCTTTGAGCTCCGAAGGTTTCAAATGAAAGCAGAGAACCGGAGGGGTGGGTTTGTTTTTTTTTTTTTTATTATTATTTTTTGGCAAATGTTGAATAAAAAGTCTAGCAAAAAAAAATTCAGAAATATGCAAATAATTTCTCAGCAATTCACTTGTTTTTTTGAAGACGTGTGTCACTATAATCATGCATCATAAATCAAAATTAGGTGAGAAAAATAATAAATTAGCAATTTTCAGAGACTTAATAATCTCGCCTTTATCATTCACTGCACCACAACAGCACCATTTTCACATTAACAGCCTTACTTTCAAAAATAGATTTCGCACTACGATAACTTTTCATGCTTTCAGGGTGTTTGTTGGTTTTTTTTCCTTTAAGGATGTCAACTCCCAGTGAGTGCTTGACAGGACAAGGGGGAATGGTTTTAAACTGAGGAGGGGAGGCTTCGGTTGGGTATCAGGAGGAAGATTTTCAGCCAGAGGGTGGTGAGGCACTGGCACAGGTTGCCCAAGGAGGCTGTGGATGCCCCATCCCTGCAGGCATTCAAGGCCAGGCTGGATGTGGCTCTGGGCAGCCTGGGCTGCTGTTGGCGACCTGCACACAGCAGGGGGTTGGAACTGGAAGAGCAGTATGCTCCTTTGCAACCCAGGCCATGCTGTGATTCTATGATTCCATCTGTCAGAGCTGAGGAGGAAGGACGGGCAGCCCCAGCACCCGGCAGAGCTCTGAGCCCTTCCACCCAAACCACGGAGCGCACAGCTCTGTGCATTCACAACCAACCGCTCTGCAAACCACAACAGCTGCCCCTGTCTGCCAAAGGAAGAGGAAAAGGCTGCCCATAAGATGCTACAAGGACCACACCGAATGCTTGTCAGGAGCAGCGAAGCCATGAGCCACTTTCACATTGACTCGGAATCCGTGCATCCCTCAGCTTTATTCTTACTGACTTGCATTACATTCCCATGACAGTCCACGGCCATGAGATAAAGGTGTCTCAAGTTATAGTATCACTCCCTAAGCCCTGCACCCCGAGCTGGGTTTTGTACAGAGCATTCATCAGATTACACAAGGCTGGGAAGAACGTTTCATAAGCAGTAAAGGATGACAATACAAGCCCTCTGTTTTCACCCTTCAGGAAGGGGCAGGCAGCAGCTCTGCACTCTCCACACGCACTTTCCCCTTATTCCTGCCTCCTCTGGCTCCCACTGACCCCAAGCCCCGCGCTCTCACCACGCAGCAGTGCTCCCTCTTCTCAGCTCAGTACTCCCAGCCTGGCACCACTTTGCTTGCCATGGCTCTGGACCCCTGAGCAGCTCTGGAGGCAACGCATGGCGCATGGCACTGCCCTGGATCCCCTTCCTTTGTTTTGCTCTGCTGAATGACAGTGGCTACAGCGGGTGAGTGAATTCCTTTCCGGAAGGGGACAGAAATCCAGCAGTCGGGTAAGGAAGTGAGATCACTGACGGCCACAAACGCGACTGCCATCGCCCAGAACGTCCCTCACGGTGGGACTCCAGCAATATTCAAAACTCAGCTTCTGCATAACAGCACTCTCAATAATAAACCTATTTCTTCCCAGCAGCCCTTCCCCAGCTCCCCCTGTGCTACCCCATCTCCGCTCTCCAACCCCCACGGCTTGATTTCTTTGCTCACTGTGACATCTGCCCACACTGCCCCGCAATATCCTTGGGCGACGGAGCACGCCTCCTCGCGCATCCACAGCCCCAGTGCCGATGCAGCAGTACCCAAACAAACAAACAAGCCCTAATAACCTAATAACTCTCGGCGGGGGCACCCCGCTCTGCACTGCGGCTCCGTGCCACGGCCAGGTCTGCTGTCACGTGGGATCCTCCTCAATGCATAAAGGCTCCCTTGTTGAGCTAAGTTTGCTCGCGCCACAACCCCGGCCCCACATCTGGTGCTTGCAGTGACCAAAACATTCCTTGTTAGCGTCCCAGTAAATAAATTATTTTCTACAGAAACACTCCAGTGACTAAGATGAAAATAGTGTGGAAAAGGAAATGTGCAGGACCATTTATACTGTTTTTATACGTCGCTTAATGGGCAGAGAGCTGCTGAATACCAGGCTGCAGTTCAATTGAAGTGTTCCACTGTCATCACCACCAGCTGCAGAACCCCCGAGACTGAAACACAGCCCTCCCATTCAGCCTCATTTCAGCCATTGTTGCTTATAATATGATCTAAAGGAACATTTGCAGGATTTCATAGAAAGTTTAAATGTTGTTTGATGAGAGCCATTAGATATTTAAATCGAAAATGAATGACACACAGTCGCAAGAGAAGCAATCACAGCACACCTAAAGCGGAGCAGTGACTGCACGACTACCGCTGCTCTCCTCCAGGCTCGTGCCAGCCATGGGCACGCAGCATCAGGGAGGCCAGGAGAACCTCAAGCCAACAGCAGCCCATGATGCAGGCGTTCTTCTTCCTGAGAACCAGCTCCATGCATCTAGAGCGCAACACGAGAAGGGAAATACCAGCCAGAGAGGCACTTCCCATTCTTTTTCAATGTCACCCCACTGAAACCCAGCAGAAGACACACGTCCAAAGAACGAGGCCTGAGCTCAACACGCTGCCACCGTGGGCGCTCACCCTGCACCACTCCGCAGCCCAGCAGAAGATGGAGCAGCTCCATCCTTCCTCTCCCGTTTCTGCCCTTCCCAAGCCCAACCTACAATCCTTTCCTACTCTTCTAATGTGAACAATATTTCATAAACACTTTATTTTTTTAACCTCTTCCTTGTCATTTCTCTGCCACATCTTTACAGAAATAAGCCTCAAACAACGTCCTGCTCCTTTTTTTACTTCATTTCTGCTCTTCTCTCCATTTCCACTCTCTCTTTGGGGGATTCAGAGAGGCTTCCTTGTTTTGGTTGCTTTTTTTTTCCGCTCCTCATCAACCCATGAAGCCAGACCATCACACCGCCTCCAGCAATACCCACCCTTCTGGTCACGTCATCCATCTGACCTTCAGCCACGTCCCCATTCAGTTCCTTCCCTATCCAAAAACAAGGTTCATCATTCCTTGCTCCCCAGACCACCCACAACTGCATAACATCAGGCTCCTCCCTGCCCATCCTCTCTCTGTTTCCTTTCCATGCACTTCTGTGATGCCCAACCCTGGCTGGGTGTCTCCGTGGTTCTACACCGCACTCTGAAGCTCCTGGAAGGGCTCCTTCTCTTCCTTCTGGGCTTGGTCAGTTGCCGTGATGCAGCAGCTCAGATCACGTTACCATTAGGATTTTCCTTGCATCTACACTTTTCTTGCATACAACTTGTCAAAACTTTTACTTTGCATTTTAACAACAATAAATCCCCTTAGCCAAAACAGGAAATCTCTCAGCGCTGTTTTTCGCAGCCTACTCTAAAAACGGGGAACCCAACTTTGATTCCGGGGAAATTCTGCCCACAACAGGTTGGGGGGAAGCAAACAATTACAAAAACGCAGCAAACGAGACTCTTCTCAGACAAACACATAAAAACAAAGGTATTTTTCCTTCCTGGTTGCTTCTGTCCAAATGTTTGAAGAAAATGTAACGAAAACAACGGCAATCTTGACAAACTCCATGCTGAGGAGGAAGAGGATTTCCTTCGCACTCCTTGTCTTGCTCCTGCTCTCTGCTCTCCAGAGAGACAGTGGCCAGGGACACACACATGTGCCCAACCACTCACACTCAGGGGACGTGTCCCCACGTCGATGCACAGTGCCTGGTGTAAGGTCCAGGGATTGGGTTGGAGCAGCAGTGCTGCTGGCACGGGGACAAGCCGACCCACATGGAAAAAGGATTTAAGTCATTTTGGTTTCTGCGCAGGGCGACCACTTGGAGAAAAGAAATAAAAAAATTACCTGTTCTGAGCAGGGCCTTGGATGTTCATGGGTCACGAGAAACGCAACGCAATGGAGGAGCAGCAGGTTCTCAAAGGGATGCTCACAGCCTAACCAGGATGGAGAACTGCATGAAAATATCAAAGACCTACGTGGACAAAGAGTGAGAGCCCCGCACTGGAAAGAACAAAGGAACCACATCTCCCCCATACAGAAAGGTGCCCTCCTTGCAGCTCAGTCTGTCTTGCAGGGTGCTGCCTGCCTCACGCCCTGCAGACAGGACAGCTGATTTCCTTCCGTTCACAATCAGACTGTAAGTAACAGAAGTACCATCCCATGAGTATTCCAAACCCTGACACATACTTCCAGAGCCGACGTATGGGGCAGAACTGGGGCAGCTCACTTCCAAAATGCATTTCAAGCGCTCCTCCGTTTCAGCAAAGGAATCTGACATCGCGCTTCCGTCCTGGGAGCGCCCTCCCTTCCCTGCTTTGCTGAAGCTGAAGGAGGAATCCAGCCCACCGCCTCACCACACCTCGACCTCTTACAAAACCTCCTCCCTCCTGCAGAACAACAGTACCTAAACCAGAGAATCAGAAGGATCTGTCTGCTTCAAACCCAGCAGCTCAAAGCCACGACTGGAACCACAAAGCGAAAGACACAGTTAGGCCTTTTGGCACCTTCAGGCAACCACCACAGGTGTCCCCTATCCCACCAGCAAGGTCCTTTCTGCTCTCTGCGTCGCTGTGTCCCTGTGCACACTTGGAGCCAAAGCAGAGGGGTCAGGCAGCGTCCTCACACAACCGCACACAGCATCCCGGCTTCCAAAAGACACCTTTTAAAAACAAAACCTCTCTTTTTTTTCAATGCCACTCTCTTGCCATTCGTAGTTAATTCAGGCCTCTCCAAGTTCTTCCCTGTGCATCACTCCACCGTAATTTTTATTATTATTTTTTAATCCCCTGAGATTCAGAACAGGGAAAACTAAAAATAAAATTAAAAAAAAAAAACGGTTCATTCTCTACACTGCACAAAAAAAGAGCAAAAAACGATCAGTTCGATGTTCTCGAGACTTTCTTTTACCCCCTGCATAACAGCAAACAGCGTTTTCCTTCACTTTAAGCAAGTCTTCCACCTGACATTATCTCATTAAGTGTCGCTGGAGAAGAAAAACAACCCATTTGCAGGATAACGTCCACTTAGGGCTAAGTCCCTTCCAGGCTTGAAACAAAAGTCACTATCCAAAGAAATACCCACATTTATCTTGCCCTTCCTGACACAAAAGGAAGTCCTGCAAGACCTGAGTTCCAAGTCCTCAGCTACAACGCTAGGAAACAATCCAGAGATTTCCACCTCAGTGCTGCCTGCGAGAGCGCGGCTTTGAAGGAAAGAGAAAAAACAACAGGCCGTGCAAGGGGAGCTGCTGCGGCAATTTGTCCATTCATAAAACAAAGGCAGAAGGCCCCAGCCCAGAGCTCAGCCCCTGACACAGCCCACACTGCCAGCCCCACAGCACCGCCGGACCCACGGCCCACGGGGCATCCCTCAGCACACCTCCCATGGACGGCCGTGCCATGGGGCATCCCTCAGCACACCTCCCATGGATGGCCGTGCCATAGGGCATCCCTCAGCACACCTCCCAGGGATGGCCGTGCCATAGGGCATCCCTCAGCACACCACCCATGGACGGCCGTGCCATAGGGCATCCCTCAGCACACCTCCCATGGACAGCCGTGCCATAGGGCATCCCTCAGCACACCTCCCATGGATGGCCGTGCCATGGGGCATCCCTCAGCACACCTCCCATGGATGGCCGTGCCATGGGGCATCCCTCAGCACACCTCCCATGGACGGCCGTGCCATGGGGCATCCCTCAGCACACCTCCCATGGACGGCCGTGCCATGGGGCATCCCTCAGCACACCTCCCATGGACGGCCGTGCCATGGGGCATCCCTCAGCAGCACCTCCCAGGGATGGCCGTGCCATGGGGCATCCCTCAGCACACCACCCATGGATGGCCGTGCCATAGGGCATCCCTCAGCACACCTCCCATGGATGGCCGTGCCATGGGGCATCCCTCAGCACACCTCCCATGGATGGCCGTGCCATGGGGCATCCCTCAGCACACCTCCCATGGACGGCCGTGCCATAGGGCATCCCTCAGCACACCACCCATGGACAGCCGTGCCATGGGGCATCCCTCAGCACACCTCCCATGGATGGCCGTGCCATAGGGCATCCCTCAGCACACCTCCCATGGATGGCCGTGCCATGGGGCATCCCTCAGCACACCACCCATGGATGGCCGTGCCATAGGGCATCCCTCAGCACACCACCCATGGTCGGCCGTGCCATGGGGCATCCCTCAGCACACCTCCCATGGACGGCCGTGCCATGGGGCATCCCTCAGCAGCACCTCCCAGGGATGGCCGTGCCATAGGGCATCCCTCAGCACACCTCCCATGGACGGCCGTGCCATGGGGCATCCCTCAGCAGCACCTCCCAGGGACGGCCGTGCCATAGGGCATCCCTCAGCACACCTCCCATGGACGGCCGTGCCATAGGGCATCCCTCAGCAGCACCTCCCAGGGATGGCCAAGGGGCAGCAGAGGTGCATGGAGCACTCAGCCTCCTTGAACTCTGAGAGCATCCATAGCCCCGCCGTGGCTGGAAGAGCTGGGTGAGCCCAGCCTGTTCAGGAAGTGATAGGAACCTACGTCTGCGGATAAATATTATGAAAGTTTGAAAATATTTTTCTTTCAACCAAAATAAAGCCTTGGTGGCCCCAGCACACCTGTAATTCAGGCGCTGTTCCCTGCAGCTGGTGATGGGAGCAGCTCCAGGGGCTCCGAACAGCCGGCACAGACCCAGGAGGACGCCGAGCCCGCCGAGACCCCCATGCGTGGGGCAGGAGGAGCTCACAGACCCCTGCATCACCAGCAAGGGGTGGACATGGCTGCACTGCGAGGCACAGCCCCACCGTGCTGAGCGCCGGGACCCTGCTGGGTCCCACAGCCTTAAATGAAAATGGGATTTAATCTTGGACGTTTATATGAAAAAGGGCAAGTGAAAAAAAATCCTGGTGCTTTTAGTCCCTTTTCAATAAGTTATATCAAATAATGTCTTTTGCTAACTACATTAGAGAGCAATTATGACTTAATGGCTGTCTAAATCCATTATCAGTGTACATTTAACCTTTCAATATTTAAAGATAATATTTAATTTGGGCAAATTAATGGACTGCCTGTGAGACCAAATATATCTATTTAGTCTTTCTGGTTTTCCATCAGTGATATTTCTCGTTAGATATCAACCTGTGCGACGAGCAAACGGCTGGAGCAGTTCCCTGTATTCGTACCTGCAGCGAGCGCTCGCAACTCGGCGCTAAAATGGCTGGGATGGAAAGCAAAATCCTGAAAAAACACCGCTTTTATCCGCTATCGCTACATCATTTCCATACCACTCCATACCACAGCTGCTTTTGATCCTGTAGAGAAAATACATTTCCACAATTGTCTGTGTTCTTAATTACCGCTACATTAATATTTTCTTTTTGTACCGTTGCCATCTTTTAACCTCTGGCTTACAAAACTATCTCTGCACAGAGTTCCTATTTCCACGAAAATGAGCGCCGTGCTGCTCATGAACTGAAGACTCTCTCAGCACAAAATTCCTATTTCCAAATAACTTACACACGTCGGCCCCGGAAAACAAACAAGCAAACGAAGCCTGATTACCCAAAGACCAAAGGACTCATGAAAGACCCCGCTCCTTTCATATCACAGTTGCCATGGAGTCCTCCTGAAATTTCAAATTAAAATGTACACTTCCCAGCACCAATTCCCCTGCTCGTTCCAGTGACCAAAAACCACTCGTTATTTAGGATGGCAAAATCAAAAGCGGTTTTAATCACCTTTATCCCACCTTCCTTTCAGATGGCTGAATCAACAGCCAGGTTTTCAGCAACGAAATTCATCTTCTCCCAACTCACAGATAACATCGTGTGGAATTCTGATCGCTTGCTCGGATGACTAATTGCACAGCAAGGAAAGCTTTAACTGCAAATATAAGGCACAGACACAGACATTTCAGTTCGAGGGATGTTGTGTTGAGGGGCATGGTTTAGTGGGAGCTGTTGGGAACAGGTGAACGGTTGGACTGGATGATTTTTTAGGTCTTTTCCAACCTTGGTGACTCTATGACTCTATGAGAGGAAAAAAATCATCCTCATTTCAGAGGTACTGAGATTCGGTTTCAAAAAGGAGGAAAGAAGCAGGGAACACCTTAAAATACTTTCCTCCTCACCATGCAGCCGTCTAGGCATGATGCTCTGGTGATGTCATCCTCAGAGTCTCTCTGCTCTTAAATAAAAAGGTGATAACATTCAAAGTTTGCACTATTTAAATAAACACAGGCAAACTATTGCACTTTACCAATGCAAGCCTGTAAGTGACTGCAAATGCATTATCATGTCAAAACCTGGTGGAGCTCCAGAACTAGGTTGACATCTTATTCACATATTGAAAGGTTAGAGGTGTTCCTCTGCGAATAAGGCACTTTAAATATAGTTTGACTTTGCACATTGTGCACGCTTATGATTCCGTCGTGCTGCTTATCGGCTTCCGTGACAAAATGCAGAAAAGTTTTTCAGTTGCATGAGTCTGGCAGGAATCCACTGACTTTAGTAAGGCTACAGCCAATGCAAGCCACTGCGCACAAGGAGAAGCCAGGCTGACAACACGCGGCAAATGGAGCGATCCCTCCTCCTAGCAAAGCCAGCGGGGCCTTTCCTCGAGTAGGAATCCTTCGGATTTGGACGAGAGTTTAAGAAAAATCCCGTGCAGATTACATCTCGACCCCGAGCAGTAAAGAGGGTTTAACAGCAGCAGAGCTGCTTACGCCACCGCTCGCACCCTGCAGCGCACAGCGCTGACTCGTAGCCCAGCACCGCGTGCTGCGGGGAGCGCGGCTGCAGCGGGTCGGCACGGCAGCCCCAACCAGGAGGCAGGACTCACCTGTTTCAGCCGTAATAACAAAACGGGTTCTGGTGTCTGCAGATAGGGCTCCCTTACAGCCCCACGAGCCTGCAGGTTAGGCAAGTTAGCTTACTTTAGCAACAAGCTCCTGAAAACAAGCAGCAGAAACCTGCTGCACACACGCACGTGGTGTGTATGCGCACTAGGAATCTGCACAAAGGTACTCCACCCTTCTGCTACAACCTAAGGGAAAGCAGAAGCATTTCATTCACAAGCTGCACGGGAGGGTTTTCCTCACCCAAAAAAAGTGTAGAACCCAGAGCTTCAAGAGAATAAAAGCAGGAACGCACGGCACACCAGCCCCCAACTGTTTCCTTTCAAAGCATGGAAACCCACCGTTCACCCCTTCTTACCTCCAGGAGCCCGTGGCTGCCTCCATACCCAGATCCCAGCACCCATGCCCACCCGCACAGAGCCCACCCACAAGGCACGTTCCTGCACGGCTCGCTGGGAGGGGACAGATGGAGATGGAACACGCCATCAAAGTGCTGGAACAGGCACCAGCGAATGTATACTGGCCACGATGAGATTTTGTCAAAACACTACAGTAAGACTTCTGGCCATCAGGGCTGAGATGCTGGAATGCTATTCCAAGACAACTTTTGGATCAAAAACCCCACACATTTTAAGATGAGAGTAAGGCAGTCCAAGCAGCACCAGGCACCTGGACCTGCTAATCCTAAACCTCCCTTCCAGGACCGGCTTCCTTTTAGACACGCTAATAAATGGCACTGATGCACAGCCCTGTGTCTGCAAACACAAAAGAAATACTCCGCAACGCAAGTCTCTCAAGATAAAGATCAACGGCTGGCAACCAAAGACCGCGGGATGGTGAAGTGTGAGTGGCCAACCTGCTACCTGAAGGGGAACGGCTCAAGAATGCGGGCTTACTCCTTTTTAAGAAATCCATCAGTTAAGGAAGCGTACTTTTTTCGTGCTGTCACTTGTGAGACGCAACAGGAATCCCAGCTGTTCATGGATCTTACGCTACAGTACCTGACAGCTCACATGGAAAACACAGAACACAAGGGGACAGTATGCAACGGCATGTAAAAGAGTACAATTCCCTTCCAGCCCTCCTACTGGAGTTTGGTTTGAACCAAGCACCAACCACACACCATCAGCGTGACCACCGCTAACACTCTGGAGATAGAAACACAAACATGTACGCAACACTTGGTTTTGTCCACTAAGGATATTGAAAATAATCCGCTGAAACGCTCCCGAGAGAAGAAAGGAGATAACGCGTAGGCAAGAACGGTTTTGAATTCATTGCAAAGTGTTGTCCTCAAGCAAAGAAATTGTTCTGGTTCAGAATCTGCACTTCTTCCCAGGAAATACACATCTTCTTCCCTCTCTGACACCTGCACACAACCCCTGGGGCTGCAGGAGTCCATCTGACCACAGCCCCCAGCAGCCCCAGTCCTGCTTGGGTCCCTGAAGCCCACGCAGAGCCCTCCCCACCCCACAGGATGGCCATCTCCAACCAGAGGAGCCCTGCTCGCTCTGAACCACGTCCTCAGGCTTCCTCGGCGCAACGGGAATAGGTACCCCACTCAATGGGGAGACTAATTCTGCCCACATCGAAACATCTGCTGACGAGTACAGAGCAGACAGAGAAGCTCTACTGCATAGGGAGTTAACTTCAAGCCCTAGGGACAAGCAGAAGACCTTGACCTGCACAGCAGACATGCCACCGGGTCTCTCCCCACGGGAAGTTTGTCTCCAGCTCAGCTCTTTCCAGGGAAAAATACCACCGAGGCTCAGTCAAAAGGGAATTACTGGTAAGCTTCTTAGGTGCAAGCTCCGAGCCAAAATTAATCTTGAGACAATTAGATTCAGCTCTATTCAGCAGAAGACAGTTAAGCCCAAAGCTGTAGAACCCAACACCAGTGAAAATGAGCTTTGCGGCTCGGTGCAGCCAGGGGAAGCGGCTGAGCGGAGCTCCGCGGAGAGGCAGCGCACCGGAGCTGGACGCTGGTAGGACCAAGGCTACGTGGGGGCCCTCTGGCAACCACCAGGATGAGAGAAAAACAAACAAACATTGTTATGCCTTTGCAAACCTTATTAATTTCAGAAATTACAACCTCTGAAACCAACGCCAACAATTAGGAATCAGAGATTGTCCTCTTGCTGTCATCTTAAAAGCTAAAGAGGACTGCATCTACGGACCTGAAAGAAGATAATTGTTGGTTAGACTTCTGTTTGTGACCATCAGAAATGTT